CCACCAGGTGCTAAATGGCGTGTTGTCCCTCGTGGGCTCACTCGCCCTCTGTGAAAGGCCTCCCCTCCAGGGACAGGCCGTGGGGGACGCCGTTGGGTCCCATCAAAGGGTAACTGAGGCCCTTCACTGGGAGGACACACGCGGTGTGGCGGGAGAACCTCTCCGGGCCGTTTTCGTTGTGAAACAGGCTCTGACAAGTGCAGAGGGAGTGACCGGTACCTGGGTGGCAGCGCTGCGTGCCAGGCGGGGGCAGAGGGCGGGGGCGGGAGGTCCTCCCGCTGCTGGCGCTGGGGCTCTGCCTCTCCGAGCTTCCGTTCTCTTTCATCCCATGCCAGCTGCAATGCAGTCCTGGCCTGGTGTCCCTCAGAGGCCGTGTGAATAACCGCGAAGTGGCCAGTGCATTTAGACGTGCCGAACGAACTGTAAGGCGCTTTGCAAACCGTGGAGGGCCAAGACCAGTTCTTATGTCCGAGTGGCAGGCTTCTCGTTTTTGCCTCTGGCTTTTGGGGAAGAGCAGCAGGCTGTCTATCAGCCGGGCCCTGCCTGAGCTGGGGGGGCGGGGTGTCCCCTTGCTTCCTCCGAGCAGCAGTGAGTCACGATGCTGAGCTGCCACAGGCAGGATGGCCTCCTGCTCAGCATCGCTCGTCCAGGAAGCCGGTTAAACTCCCGCTCTTGATTGTGGCCTTTTCACGGAATAATAACTCGATTAAAGGTGTGTTTTTTACTGAACATCCCTGATATTATTATTAGTATTATTAGAGTCACTGACATCATAAGAAAATTATTTAAATGCTCATTAAAAAAAAAAAAACAAAAAACCCTTAATAGTAGGAGGGGAGTAGCATTTCACTGCAGGAGTCCAGTTTCGTGTTGGTTCCCAAGCGTCAAAATAAAAAATGATGTTTCCTCAACATTTGCAAGTTACTGCTTCCCCGGAACCTCTAATGCATTAGGCAGGCTGCATTAAAGTTCCTCCAGGGTTTTATTACCGCTAGAGTTGCACGGAAAGGCATCGCTGAAACATCCACTGCCACGTACGAGATGGATAATAAACGACGGATCATGCAAAGCCTAAAGCGCGATGTTTGCGATGTGCGGCTTTATCGGGTGTGTCCACATACAGGGTCACACCTGGTCCCCCAGCCTTCTTGGGAGGCAGGTGTAGTATTTCTGTTCTACCGATGAGGAATTTTGAGGCTCAGACAGGTCAAGGACCTGAGGGGCTTCACTCTGCTGGCATCGGCAGGACAGAGGTAGGGACTCACGCTGCCATCCCGGGCTCTCCTAAGTGGGGGATCGCAGGGAGGGTCCCACAGTCGGGGTAAACATGAGGGGCTTCCTTTAGAGCCAGGAGAGCGAATTAGATTCAGCGCAGGCTCCCGCCCGCTGATATTAAACGCGTCTGGGGAAGGAAGGGAGGAAGCAGCAACGTCGTGGGCGCTGGGCTCCGAGTGGCCGAGCCTGATTTAACGCTCCAAATGCAGCTGACGTTTCCAGGTCTGTAGGCCGGGTTTCACGTCGCTGGGTATGTCGCTTCAAAATGATGTGGACATCGACGCATCCATTCGGAACCTCGGCAGCCGCAGTAGCAGCCTGGTGGGCAGTGGAGTCTCTCTGGGCCCCTGGAGAGTCCTCACCTCACGGGGCCTCCAGTTCAGCTCTGGGCAAGTGGCCCTGAGCTCCAGGAGGGGCTGGCCGCCTGCGAGGGAACCTCTAGTACTAGGGAGGGGAGGCAAGGGTCCTTGGCGGCATTTACAAATGAGCTGTGAGTTTTCGAATAGAACGGTGTCGAGGGGCTCTGCGTCGTCGTTCAGTTCATGAAAGGGAGCAGCCCGGTGCCCAAGGCTACCGGGAAGTGGTCGTGTGGAAATGAATGTTTTATTAAAAAAAGAGAGGTGCGGGGTGGGGGGCAGCGTAGGAAGAGAGTGTTCTGGGCAGGGCCTTTGAGGGCCGGGTGATTTTTAAAAAATCGGAGGCTGTCGGATGCGGGGAAGGCTGTCGCCTGCGGTGAGCCTCTGGGAGCTGGAGCCTTTCAGGGGTGCAGGAGAAGAAGGAGGGTACTCTGCCGTGACAGTGGCCCTGGGGTCCCACTTGATGGATACGCATAGCTCCTCCCCGCCTGACGGTGAATTACGGACAGGACAGGGAACTTCTTCCTTAGGAAGTTGCTCCTGGTTAGAAGTCTCTCCTCCACGTTTTTTTTTTTTGAACAAGAAGTGGAAACATCTGAGCGCTTTAGAACATGTAGCTGCACGCTTTGCGGCCGCTGCCATTTTGAGTTTATTTTTAAAAAATGTTGTCATCGGCCATTCCGGCTGTAGAGCTGCCTTCATCCCCCACCTGCCAGGGCGTTCCGAATTTTCTTTCGACAGCCACATTCCTCACCAGCCGTAGAACTTTCTAGAAAACGTGTGGCCATCAGAGCAAGAAACAGGAAGTGCTCTGGAGATACCCAAGGAAATGAAGACGATGAAAACAGAGATTGGGAGCGGGAAGGGAGGTGGTCCATCTGAGAAATGGAACCACCGGGGCGGCCGGCTGCCATGAATCCATCCATCCGAGCGGCCGAAGCCGAGAAGTTGGGGACGGAAGCACTCTTTAATTTGAAGGTCTGTGACCTTGTGGGATGTGGCACTTCATTGGTGCTATTAGCTCCCGTGTAGAAAGGGACTTTTATTTATCTTCTTATTTACTACTTATTTATTCTGCCTTGCTCCAGAGAAGGGTTTGAGGAGGACTCACAATATGGCTTGTGACCAGCTCTCCTGTGAAGAGTTCTGTCCCCTACGCACATTAACTCATACGCCGAGGCCAGGGGAGGCTGCCTCAAGGAAGCCGCTCTTTCTATGCCAGCTGAGCCGCATGCGGGCAGGGAGGGCTGAGGGCTGGGGTGCTGGCGAGGCCTTGTAGCTCCCACGGTGAGAAGTGTGGCCTCCCAGGCCCCCCACAGCCCCCTGCGGTTTTCCAGGCAGGGGAAGTTCTCAGGGGCTCCAGCGTGAGGAACGGAATTACCCAGACACGCCGGGAGAGGGACTCGCCCAGACGCCCTGGGCAAGGAACATGGCCTCTGAAGTTGTCCCTGAGCTGCCTGTAAAAGCGAGGTGGAGCTGACCTTCAGAGTTCTCTGTTTCGTTTCCTTCTGTCCATTTTCTTCCCCAGTGGCCTCCTCCGCACCGTGCACGCAGGGCCACAGCGGAGACCAGAACGAAACGTTTAGGGCGCCAAACTTGTTGCTGTGGCGCATGTTCTGGCCCAGTTGATTCTGTGGTCTGAGAGCATTGACACCCTGTCCTCTGGATGGCGTGGTGCTTTTCTGTGACATCACATGAATCGCATGGCTCAGGGGCCCAGCCCCTGGGGAGCTAGCTGTTAAGCTTAACCAATCTGTACGGAATTCAAGGTCCCCGAGTCACTTAGTTAACTACTAAGGGTGCAGCCTCCCTCACTCCAAAGTATAATTTGTGGGTGGAAAACAAAAATAAAATAAGTCTCCGCACGGGCTCTCAGAGGTTCTAAATGGACTCGGGGAGGCCGAGGTGGGGAAGGGTCTTCTCCATGCGGCGGCCCACCGTGCCTCGCATCACCAGGCTGAGCCTGGGTGTGGTCACCAGGGAGGTTGTGGTTCCTGGACTTCATCAGAGTTAAAGTCTTCCAGGTACAGGGAAGTTTAAAAATGCAAGGAGTTCTTCGAGATCGCGGCTGTGATGTCTTGTTCACTTTTCCTTCCTGGCCAGTGAGCAAATCCGGTGGTACGAGGCAGGGCCTGTCCGCGCCTGTCCTGTTCATGTGAAGCATTAGGGGAGGTTCAGGCTGGAAGAGCCGCCGGCTTCGTCCGCAGGCTGAAGACGGTACCCACAAGACAGGTTCTGGAGGAAGTGTTCGGCCTCCATTTTGTAAATGCCCCAGTGACGGACAAAGACCGTGACATTCTGACTCAGTGCCATCGGTGTCCATGATGCTTTGCGCCCGGTGTCACCGGAGCCAGTTTGTAACAAATCCTTGTTTGCCGCCACTCATCCCGCTGCCACATCAGACCCGACGTTCTTTCGTGCAGTCAGCATTCTGGCAAAGGGACTTCGTGTAGGCCAGTGGCTTCCCCCTGCCCCTCCTGAAGGGTCTTCGAAGGCCGGATTCCACACGGTGATTACGGTGTGCGAGGCCACATTTAAATTTGACAGTGCTTTCTGATGGACACTGCTGTATGAAACCCTAGATTTTCGTATAGCTAAAATCCCAAACGATGCAGGGGTATTAGCCCTTTATCTTAAAGAAGTGTTTGCAAGGTGGTTCGGTTTGACTTGTGGTTTTAAGACTTCCTTGGATCAAGTATTGCCTAATCGGTAGTTCTCAAGGGGGGAGGGTCGAGTTTGGCCTCCCAGGGGTCATTCGGCAATGCCCGGACAGGTTTTTGACCTTCATGCTGCTGGCTTCTAGTGGGTAGAGGCCAGGAATGCTGCTGAACACTCTACAGTGCACGAGACAGCCCCCACCACAAAGAATTATCCGGGTCTAAATCTCGATAGCGCCTTGGTTGACAACCCCTGCTCTAGATAGTTGCCAGGTGAAGAGAGCCCTGTATGGCTGAGATTGGCCCCGGTCTCCTCTTATGCAGCCCACTTGATGTCACTTCTATTACTGGAATCAGGCATTCTCACAAACACAGTCATCTGGCTTCTGAGATAATGGGAATGAGACACCTTTTCTTCAGGGGCACAGACCGAGGCCTGCGGAATCCCGAGAACCTTGCCGAGGTCCTGCGGCGGGTCGGGTCTTTGCCGAGGCCACCTGCCCACAGAGCCCGCTTCTTCGGCTCCCCCGGCCAGGTGGAGACACACACGGCCTGGCCGGAGAGTCGCCACGTCTGTCGTCTGGGCCTGCTGGGAGGCGGCCCGCCGCCGCCTCTCACAGACGCGCCTCCAGGTCGGCGGCCCCGCGGCGCGCAGGCCCCGTGCCGCTTCTCACGCTCTCTTCTCTGCCTTTCTGTCCGTGTGTCTCCCCAGGTAAAGATGAGCCTTCCAGCTACATTTGCACAACATGCAAGCAGCCCTTCAACAGCGCGTGGTTCCTGCTGCAGCACGCGCAGAACACGCACGGCTTCCGCATCTACCTGGAGCCCGGGCCGGCCAGCAGCTCGCTCACGCCGCGGCTCACCATCCCGCCGCCGCTCGGGCCCGAGGCCGTGGCCCAGTCCCCACTCATGAATTTCCTGGGCGACAGCAACCCCTTCAACCTGCTGCGCATGACGGGCCCCATCCTGCGGGACCACCCGGGCTTCGGCGAGGGTCGCCTGCCCGGCACGCCGCCGCTCTTCAGCCCGCCGCCGCGCCACCACCTGGACCCGCACCGCCTCAGTGCCGAGGAGATGGGGCTTGTCGCCCAGCACCCCAGTGCCTTTGACCGAGTCATGCGCCTCAACCCCATGATTGACTCGCCCGCCATGGACTTCTCGCGGCGGCTCCGCGAGCTGGCGGGCAACAGCTCCACGCCGCCGCCTGTGTCGCCGGGCCGCGGCAACCCTATGCACCGGCTCCTGAACCCCTTCCAGCCCAGCCCCAAGTCCCCGTTCCTGAGCACGCCGCCCCTGCCGCCCATGCCCCCCGGCGGCACGCCGCCCCCGCAGCCGGCGGCCAAGAGCAAGTCCTGCGAGTTCTGCGGCAAGACCTTCAAGTTCCAGAGCAATCTCATCGTGCACCGGCGCAGCCACACCGGCGAGAAGCCCTACAAGTGCCAGCTGTGCGACCACGCGTGCTCGCAGGCGAGCAAGCTCAAGCGCCACATGAAGA